AGCGGGCCGGGGCAGAGCCGGGCCGGCCCGAGCGGGGCCGTTGCGGGCGGCGGGGCCGCGCGGAGGCGGAGGCGGCCATGGAGGGGCTGGCGGGGTACGTGTACAAGGCGGCCAGCGAGGGCCGCGTGCTCACCTTGGCCGCGCTGCTGCTGAACCGCTCCGAGAGCGACATCAAGTACCTGCTGGGCTACGTGAGCCAGCACGGCGGGCAGCGCTCCACGCCGCTCATCATCGCCGCCCGCAACGGGCACGCCAAGGTGGTGCGGCTGCTGCTCGAGCATTACCGCGTCCACACGCAGCAGACCGGCACCGTCCGCTTCGACGGGTACGTGAGGCCCGGCCCCGACAGCGCCGGGCGCGGCGGGGCGGGCACGGCCTGGGCTCGGGGCAGAGCGGGGCTGGGAGCGCCGTGCGGGCCTCTGGCGGCTGCCGCTGCTCTGGGGCTTGGGAGCCTTCTCCAGAGCAGGGTGCTCCGTGACCTGGCGGTCTGTGTGCGTTCCGAGGCTTGGCGGTGGGTTCTTTTCAGCTCCGGCTCTTCTGTGACGCGGTGGTCCTTGTGGTTCCAGCTCAGATTATTCCGTGACTTGGTGGTGCTTGTGAGCCCTTCCGGCTCGGTATTCTGTGCCTTGGTGGCCCTTGTGGGTATTTTTCAACTCGGGCTGTTTTGTGATTTGGTGGTCCTTGTGGGGCCCTTCCAGTTCTGTGTTCTGTGACTTCATGGCCCTTTTCAACTTGTCACTTCTGTGACTTGGTGGTCCTTGTGGTCCCAACTCAGATTATTCTGTAACTTGGTGCTTCTTGTGGGCCCTTCCAACTCAGTGTTCTGTCACTTCATGTCTTTGTGGAGCCCTTCCAGCTCAGGATTCTGTGACTTGATGGTCCTTGTGGGTTCTTCCCAACTCAGACTGTTTTGTGACTTGGTGGTCCTTGTGGTCCCAGCTCAGATTATTCTGTGCCTTTGTAGGCCCTGTCCAGCTCAGTATTCTGTCACTTGATGTCCTTGTGGGCCCCTTCCAGCCCAGGCTGTTCTGTGATTCTGTGCCTTGCTGGCCCTTGTGGGCCTCCTGCAGCTCAGACTGTTCTGTGACTCGATGGCCCTTGGGAGCCCTTCCCAACCCAGGTTATTCTGTGACTTGGTGGTGCTGGTGTGTCCTTCCCACCTCAGATTATTCCATGACCTGGTGGCCCTGGTAGGCCCTGCCCAGCTCAGCATTCTGGGCTTTGTTGGCCCTTGTGGGTCCCGTCCAAGGCTGTTCAGTGCTCTGTGATCACTCCCCTGCCCTCTGCGGGCCTCAGCAGAGCTCCCAGGAGGATCTGATCTCTGATTTTCCCAGGCACAGAGGGCAGGCTGGCAGGTTGGCAGTGCCCAGGGCCCTCCTTGCTGCTGTTTTTAGAAATGAATTCATGACATCCCCACCTAAACATCACGTGGGTGTTGGAGGCCACAGTGAGGTCACAATTTGGTGATTTTCTGGTAAAAAATGCCTGTGTGGTTGGAGATCCCACCTGATGCTTTATGAGCCATGGATGACTTTTCCATTTAGGAATTCCCCGTGTGAAGCTGTGGACAGGATAATATTCACAGCCCCGAGAGCTTCTGCTGGGCTACAGTGGCCTTTTTGGGACATTTTTGCTGCTGCAGGTGACAGTGCCATCAGGAATGGTTCTCACACTGCTCAGTTTTCACATGCAGAACCACTTCCCTGTGTGGTTTGAGTTTTAGTCCTTCCTTTTCCCTTCCAGCTGGGTTGTTTTGGTTTTTTTTGGGTTTTTTTGGTTTTTTTTTTTTTTTTGTTTTGGTTTTTTTTTGGTTTTTTTTTTTTTGGTTTTTTTTGGGTTTTTTTGGTTTTTTTTTTTTTTTTTTGGTTTTTTTTGGTTTTTTTTTTCCCCTGTCAGAAGCAGGTTGAGAATTCTTGGGGTGAGAATCCCTGGAGGAAGGACTTCCTGACAGACAGCAGATGCTGGATTTTTGCCTGGCTGGGGTGGGGATGTTTTCCAGAAGCTGTGCCTGGCACGGATTGAAGGAGGAGTTGTGGGAGGCACAAGGGATGCAGAGAGAGGAGCAGAGCCCATGTGATCCCCAGGGATTGTTGTTCTCAGATAAGGTGGCTCAGCAGCTCCTCTCCCGCGGGCTTTCCACCTCAAAACACCAACAAATCACCTCGGGTTCCTAAAATATCCCCCCTCCTGACTCTCCTCCTGCTTCAATACATAAATATTTTAATGGAGTTATTTACAAAATCAGGAACTTCTCGCTGGGAATTCTCTCTGAGATCTTGAAGAGCCTCTGGAGGTGTTGGATTTACAAACAGTTGCTGTGGAGCTGCGAGGGCTTTGTAATAATTAAAAATCGCTGTGAAAGTGAAATTTCAGCTGATCTTACCATATTTTAGCTTTGGGGAACGTGGCTGTCTGGAAATGTTTGTCCTTCCTGTGTGTTTGGGACGTGCCTTGAGGATGTGTGAATCCTGCCTGTTTCTTCATTTAAATCCTTCAAAAACCAGGGAATGGAAAAGGCAAATCCTTTATTTTGTGTGCTGGGTTTAAGGGAATGAAAACAGCTTAAAAAGAAGGATCTGTCCCTTCGTTTCCCCGTTATCCATGTGACACAGATCTGTGGAGCAGCCCAGCCCAGAACTTCTGCTTTTTTGGGTTTTATTTTCTTCCTGAGGTTCCATTTGTGTCACCAGGTTGCTGGGCCGGTTCAGGGCACGGGATCTCGAACAGGGAAGTGCTGGGAAACTGCAGCTCAGGGAGAGGGGGCAGGAAAAGCGATCAGGAATTTTGAAGCCGGTTTTGCTGCCAGGGCTGTTGCTGGTGTCTAAATCTGATTTTTTTTTGTGTCAAAATATCCATTTTAAGGTTTTTCTTGGTCTTTAATATGTCACTTCATGGCACTGAAGGGATAATTTTAGAACTCTTCGTGCCAGACCTCTCTAAACTGAGGCTGGAGTTTGTAAGTGGGATCTTCAAGGTGGCCAAACCCCTTTGGCTGCTTTGAAGCTCCAACGCTCCGTGTGCTCTGTCGGTCATTCCGTGGTTGTGAGTTCCTTGGAATCCAGTGAGTTCCTTGTGGAAGGTGTCATTTCCTTGGAATCCATGGATGGGCTGGCTGTAAAATCCCCGTTAGTGGCTGGGTGTGGGACGCTTTTGGAAGAGCATCAACCTAACTCCTTATCCTCCCGTCCCCCAGCTTCGTCATCGACGGGGCCACCGCGCTGTGGTGCGCGGCCGGCGCCGGCCACTTCGAGGTGGTCAAGCTGCTGGTGAGCCACGGCGCCAACGTCAACCACACCACGGTGACCAACTCGACGCCGCTGCGGGCGGCCTGCTTCGATGGCCGGCTGGACATCGTCAAGTACCTGGTGGAGAACAACGCCAACATCAGCATCGCCAACAAGTACGACAACACCTGCCTGATGATCGCGGCCTACAAGGGCCACACGGACGTGGTGCGCTACCTCCTGGAGCAGCACGCCGACCCCAACGCCAAGGCCCACTGCGGGGCCACCGCCCTGCACTTCGCCGCCGAGGCCGGCCACCTGGAGATCGTCAGGGAGCTGGTCAAGTGGAAGGCGGCCATGATGGTCAACGGCCACGGCATGACGCCGCTCAAGGTGGCCGCCGAGAGCTGCAAGGCCGACGTGGTGGAGCTGCTGCTGGCTCACGCCGACTGCGACAGGAGGAGCAGGATCGAAGCTCTGGAGCTGCTGGGGGCCTCGTTTGCCAACGACAGGGAGAACTACGACATTTTGAAGACTTACCACTATTTATATTTAGCCATGCTGGAGAGGTACCGCGACAGCGAGAACGTCATCGAGAAGGAGGTGCTTCCCCGGATCGAGGCTTACGGAAACAGGTCGGAATGCAGGACCCCTCAGGAATTAGAGTCCATTAGGCAGGACAGAGATGCCCTTCACATGGAAGGCCTCATAGTGCGGGAGAGAATCCTGGGCTCGGACAATATCGACGTCTCCCACCCCATCATCTACCGGGGCGCGGTCTACGCGGACAACATGGAGTTCGAGCAGTGCATCAAGCTCTGGCTCCACGCCCTGCACCTGCGGCAGAAGGGCAACAGGAACACCCACAAGGACCTGCTGAGGTTCGCTCAGGTCTTCTCCCAGATGATCCACCTGAACGAGCCTGTGAAAGCCAAGGACATCGAGAGCGTCCTGCGCTGCAGCGTGCTGGAGATCGAGCAGGGCATGGCGCGCATCAAAACCACCCCGGACGCCGACATCCACACGGCCATGGACAACTACGAGTGCAACATCTTCACCTTCCTCTACCTGGTGTGTATCTCCACCAAGACGCAGTGCAGCGAGGACGACCAGTCCCGCATCAACAAGCAGATCTACAACCTGATCCACCTGGACCCGCGCACGCGCGACGGCTCCAGCCTGCTGCACCACGCCGTCAACTCGGGCACGCCCGTGGACGACTTCCACACCAACGACGTGTGCAGCTTCCCCAACGCCCTGGTCACCAAGCTCCTGCTGGACTGCGGCGCCGACGTCAACGCCGTGGACAACGAGGGGAACAGCCCTCTGCACATCATCGTGCAGTACCACCGGCCCATCAGCGACTTCTTGACGTTGCACTCCATCATCATCAGCCTGGTGGAGGCCGGCGCCCACACGGACATGACCAACAAGCAGAAGAAAACCCCTCTGGATAAAAGTACCACCGGGGTGTCCGAAATCCTCCTTAAAACTCAAATGAAGCTGAGTCTCAAGTGCCTGGCTGCCCGCGCCGTGCGGATCTACAACATCAGCTACCAAAACCAGATCCCCAGAACTCTGGAGGAGTTTGTCCAGTTCCACTAGGCCGTGTCCAACCTCTTGTGGTGGTGCTATCCCGGGACGACACCAGACAGCAGAATACACCCGTGTCCATGAAGTTGTTTTTCTCCATTCCTTTGGTTTTGGGCTCCTCTGGATTCCGTCTGCGGCCTCAGTTCTCGGGTGGAGA